TGTTGATTTCACGACCTTATCTCTTTGTTTTATTTTTAATTTTTTTAAGTTCCATATCTTTCCGAAGAAAGAGAAAGAGGTTTTGCATATTTTGAAATGAGGACATCATTCAGGGTGAATTTAGCAGCTTTCCTCTCTGTTCCTTCCCCTTTTGGAGACTTAGGCACCATAGGTAGCGCGTTCGGCTCTGGTTTGATTTATGTCAGCTTATGAAGTTGGAAAAATACATTTCCCGTCGCTTTCTAAAAGCTGTTTGCAAAAAAAAGCCATTTGCATAGCTTAGGAGACGCTGCCGCAATATACATCAATTTTGGCGTTTTAAAATTCGGGCACACTTGTTCTGACAGATGAACATAATTCCGTCTGTGACTAAAATATAATTTAAAAAATAATAATTTTATTAGCAGCACTCCGGGATATCAGCATGTTGGCAGTTTGTCCCTGCTTCTGGCTTCTGGCTCGGACTAAAAATCCCGAGTATTTACTGCATTCCTCACTCAATAACCATTTCCAGTCTTGTCAGTCTTGTCAGTCTTTCTTTCTTTCTTTCTTTCTTTCTTTCTTTCTTTCTTTCTTTCTTTTTCTTTTTCTTTCTTTCTTTCTTTCTTTCTTTCTGTCTTTCTGTCTTTCTTTCCTTCTTTCTCCTTCCTGCCTTCCTTTCTTTCCTTCTTTCTCTTTCTTTCTTTCTTTCTTTCTTTCTTTCTTTCTTTCTTTCTTTCTTTCTTTCTTTCTTTCTTTCTTTCTTCCTTTCTCTTTCCTCAAATGCTCAAATGCTCGATCACGTGACCGTGGGAAAAGGCTGTCGTAAGTCCCTTTACGTCGGGGCCATGGTAACTTCCAACAGATGCTAAGTGAATCATGATAGGGCAAGTGCTACCTGAAATGCAGGTGAATACATGCTAACAAACCCTGGATGGTGAAGGATGCTTTTGTACCGGGCTTTGGAATATTCTCTGCCCGTTTCCTCAAAATTGCTTGACCGTCACCAAAATTTCATCCACTACATTTCGGATGCAAACAGTTTCAAGTGAGTACTCCGAGAGCACAAAGCTGAAGACACAAGCCTGAAGGTGACGAATGAGATTTCGTCGAAACATCGCCAGGATACTTCCAATTTTACATGGGAGAAAACCCAAAAACCAAAGATCCATATATTTATTTATATATATATTTATATATTCATTCATACATACATACATACATACATACATATATATATATATATATATATATATATATATGGAAGAAAGATGGTTGGGTTAAATTTGGTGGGTGTTTTTCCTTTCTTTCTTGAAACTGCTTTGCAGCTCTCACATCAACAGGGGCAAATACAGTTCTGATTTATCACTTTATTTTCCCCCGGTGAGACAGGAACACCTTTTAAATCCAATACCTTTTCTCCCTGCAAAACGCAGGATGCAGTCCCAGGAGAATATGGCTCTGCATCATGCATTAATCATTCCGAGCTTCCTGTTTTTAGATGGGCTCCCTCCCCCAAAGAAAAACAGCTCCGGCAGAGCTGTTATTTTTAAGTTTGAAACACTATAATGCAAAACAACAAACATATTGTGCGTATTTTGCAATGCAAAGAGAGTGGATCGAGGATGCGGTCTCACTGCGTAGCCGTTCATGTGAATTATCCTACAATTCCTTGGGCGGTTTTGTTTTCCTCCTGTCTGTTTATTTGTCTTGATTAAAAAGAGAGAGGGAAGGAGGGAGGGAGGGAAAGAGAGAGAGGGAAAGAGGGAAAGAAAGAGAGAAAGGGAAAGAGAGGGGGGAAAGAGAAAAGGAAAGAGAGAGAAAGAGGGAGGAAGAGAGAGAGAAAGAGAGGGGAAGAGAAAGGGAGGGAGGGAGGGAGGGAGAGAGAGAGAGAGAGAGGAAAATCTTAAGTGGATTGTGCAGAGAACTGTGCTGAGTCGATGAGTAAGATCCTCGTGGATTCGCAGCTGCCCACAAGTTGTAAGGTTGCAATGTAAATGAGCAGTGCGTGCAAAAGAGTTTCTTTAAAACAAAAATTAAGTGAAATAAACAAGGAGAGCTTTGCATGGTGACTAAACTTAGGGCTATTATTATGCCCAGATCATCCAGGATTCCTGCTAACCTTCGTTTAAAGCAGGCTTGTTATCCTGGCCAAGGTTCCGTGCATTCAGTAATACTGTGAACCAGTTCACCCAGCTGCCTTTCACGCCCAAAGTGGGACTAGAACCCCCAGTCTTCTGGTGATTGGCCCTGAATCATCCAGTTGGCTTTTCATGCTTAAGAGAGGACTAGAACTCACAATCTCTTGGTTTTTAGTCTGGTGCCTTAACTACCTACTAACTAAACTGGCTCTAGTGATTCAACTGAGTTAAGTAAATAAAACCAAGTTAAATAGAAACTAGACTCTTTGCCCCAAAGACTTGTAGTTCAGGACTACACTGAGAAAGAGGCTAAAAATTCAAAAGTCTCTTGACAAGTGAGATGGGCAACAAACAAACAATAAATATGATTTGAACATGATTTAACTACCAACAGCATTTCTGTTCGACACACAGCAATTATTAGAATTCTTTGATAACAACTTATTTTGCTTTTCTGCGATGCTTCTACTGATCAGGAGTTAAGAAATCCTTGGGATAGGACTAGAATTAATGAAATCAGTTATGAATTGAGTGAGGGGAAATGGTAAGAAACCAATTCATCACAGCCAGTTCTTTGACGTCCTTATGAACCAAACCCAATCGTACAATAAAAAGAAGAAACAACAATCGTCCTAATTTTATTCACAAGTCAGTCCCTGGTGGCTTACTTTAACGTCAGTCCTTGGGCAAAAAGAATATTAATTCCTATTTTGAGGGAGTAATGTAGGATTCAGGATTCTTGCAGGATAAGGATGGGGGGTGGACTGAGATGGCGGGCGATACATTAGATGTGCAGGCTTGCTAATTCAGAACATCTGCAGTTTGTTTTTCCTACATTCTGGGTTCCCTCCGAAGAATCTCTGCAAATACAGACACCTCGGTTGTTAAAAACTGCTGCCGGCAATTTTGGAAGCGAGAAAAACAACCTACCGCAACAACGATGCTCTTATTCCCAAAAGGGATGATTGCACATCCTAACACTAGCATGGACAGGGGGATCGACTGGAGATTTACTGAATGATCTCTGCTGGGGATATGTAGCACCTCCTAATTAAGGGGAAAAAAAAAACACATTTGAGGAGTCTTAATGGTGCAGTATTTAGAATGCAGTATTGCAGGCTAACGCACTGCTCATTGCCAGGAGTTCGATACTGACTAGCCAAAGGTTGACTCAGTCTTCCATCCTTCTGAGGTCGATAAAATAAGGATCCAGATTGTTGAAGGAAACAGGCTGACCCTGTAGACTGCTTAGAGAGGGCTGTAAAACACTGTGAAGTGGTATATAAATCTAAGTGCTGTTGCTATTCCTTCCTTCCTTCCTTCCTTCCTTCCTTCCTTCCTTCCTTCCTTCCTTCCTTCCTTCCTTCCTTCCTTCCATCCATCCATCCATCCATCCATCCATCCATCCATCCATCCATGGTGCACAGTGGTTAGAATGCAGAATTGCAAGCTGACTCTGCCCACTGCCAGGAATTCGATCCTGACCGGCTCAAGGTTGACTCAGCCTTCCATCCCTCTGAGGTGAGTAAAATGAGGACCCAGATTGTTGGGAGGCCTCCCAAGGACCGTCCCATAGATTTCCACTGCTCTCCTCTCCTCTGCCTTCTTTGCAGTTGCGCGTCAGGCACTGGACCCAGCTGTTCCTCCTCTTCCTCATCAGCCACCTCCAGACCTGGGGGCTGTTGACTCTCCATCTGAGGGCTGACAGACGGCCCAGGATCCGTCTCTCTCTCTCTCTCTCTCTCTCTCTCTCTCTCTCTCTCAGCCAGCTCCATTTCCTCTTCCCCTTTGGAGCTCTCAGGTTGCCTTGAGGCTGGCCCTGACTCCCACACTTCCTCCACCTCTTCTGATTTGGCTGCTAGCCGACAGGCCGCAACACCTACGCTGCATTTATTCTTGCTTGTATCTGAACTACAGACGGAGAAGGAGAACCGTAATCCTCCTTTTGTGGGAACGAAAGCCAACATGAGAGTCTTGGCATATTTTGAAAACTGAACATCGCTCCTCTTTGGCTCTGAGTTCAGTGATTAATTTTTCTAAAGAGCGGCTCATCCGTTCTTCCTAGCGGCTTGATCAAGCTGTCAGAAACAGATCTCCGAAGCAATTATTGCCAAGGATATTTTCCCTGTCCTTGTCAAAATATGTACGGCGGTGCTTTGATTTGCAGTCAAGAAAGGGTAACCTTTTCGTTCCCCCTCCTTTTTTTGAACATTGCTTTTGACAATGGGGGAATTCAGGGGTCAGATATCAATAGGATGTTTTCGGTCCCAATGGGGGGGAATCATTTCTTTCAAGAATTTGATTGTGGATGAGCACAGTTTAAACTGTGCCAGGTTTATCCAGAAATTTTGGCTCACCATCCGTAGCACCAGGGCTACCTCTGCCATCATGGCACCACAATTTCATTTCTTAAAGTCCCACTTTCATTAATCCGTAAGTAACTCAAGATGGCGAATATATATAAAAGATATACCTAAAATCTATCTAAAAGAGGAGTCTGTCATCTGCATGTCTATGACTGTCTGGTTTGTTGGTGGGAACAGCATTCCATGTGCCTTATCGGCGTTTAGTCCTTCGGGCCACAGGACCACGGAGACGTCTTCGGACAGCGCTGGCTCCTTCGGCTTTGTAACGGAGATGAGCACTGCCCCCTAGAGCCGGAACAGAGTAGCACGTATGTGCGAGAGAAACCTTTACAGTGTGGAAAGCCGCCATATGGTAGGGTATAGTGGACCTGCAGCAGTTTGGGGAAGCGACAGAAATGCAAAAAGCAGAGCGATAGCGGGAACTCCAAAAGCCATGAATGACAGATCCGAAAAGATTGCAAGAACAACATTCAACTTAAAGCATCCAGCGGTTACCCACCAGGGGGGGAAAAAAATGGCCTTGACTCAGAAAAAAAACTTGGGCAATCAAATCTGAAGCCAAAGTTGTGATTCTCCATTTCTGAACTCAAACCCCATGCTTAAGAGGGGGGAAAAAAAACACACCAGGTAGCACAGAACTCTCTGCTATAAAGCAACATACACGTTAACACCTGCGGGGTCAGATTCTGAGTTTCGCTGCTAAGTGGATAAGGTTTACTACAGACTTACCTTAAGTCTGCTGCTATCAAATTAAAGCCATTGTAAAGGTGTCCTTCCAAGGCCACTTTCTTCAAGTAAGAGTAACTGTCCATTTCTGAGGTCAAGAAATTCGTCACCAGGGCACCTGCAAAGAAAGGAACATAACAAGTGGTTTATAACTAGGGAGTTGGTTTGTAATGGTACTGCTTTAAGGCAGGCAGAGGAGAAGATGGTTAGGTCAACTTGATGCCATCTGGCAAAATGCTGATTAGAACAGAAGAATTATCACTCTTATTGACCAGCGGAGCAATAAAAACCAACCCTCTCAATTAGAGGGCCATTTGTTTAATAAATACAATATCTCAGTAACGCAATAAATATTTGCCGGCTGCGCAATATAATGGGTTGACCACGGAGCTTGGTGAGAAAAAAAAAAAGCTTTAGTTTTTAAGCCATAGATTGTGTTTATTTTAGCAGAACATCGCAGTTCCTGTTTCAGTGAAGGTTAACACTTGCCTGCTTTTAGTTCAACTTCGTGTTTGCAAAATATCTTTATTGGGGGATGGGAGAGCCAAAGAGACCTAGGAAGGAAGGAAGGAAGGAAGGAAGGAAGGAAGGAAGGAAGGAAGGAAGAGCACTAGCAATAGCCCTTAGACTTTTATACCACTTCACAGTAGATTACAGCCCTCTCTAAGCAGTTTACAGGGTCAGCCTCTTGACCCCAACAAACTGGGTCCTCATTTTACTGACCTCGGAAGGATGGAAGGCTGAGTCAACCTTCAGTCAGTCAGGATTGAAGGAATTGGAACTCCTGGCAATGTGAGTGGAGTTAGCCTGCAATATTGCACTCTAATCATCAGCGCTCCCTCTTTAACTATAGATGGTAATTAGTTTTTAATTATATAATTGTCATTGTTAGTTGCAAAGTCATGTCCGACCCATCGTGACCTTTACCATCTTCTGGAGTCCATTGAAGCTCACGCCGACTGCTTCAGTGACTCCATCCAGCCCTCTCCTTCTCTGCCGTCCCCTTCTTCTTCTTTTGCCCTCAATCGTTCCCAGCATTATGACTCTTCTCCAGGGAGTCTTTCCTTCTCAAGAGGTGGCCAAAGTCTTTGAGTTTCATCTTCAGGATCTGGCCTTCTAAAGAGCAGTCAGGGTTGATCTCCCCTAGGACTGACCAGTTTGCTTTTTTACAGTTACGGAGGATAAACATTTTTTTTTTCAGTTAAGCAGGTTGTCAACTAAAAAATACTCCTTTGGTCTTTTTTAGTTGCCAGCAGGAAAGGAGTATAGAGAAAAGCAGTGCATTCCTTAAATGCCTCAGATGGCAGCCGAAGCTGTTGGCTCGCAAGATTATTACTGGAGAGCATGATTGATGACTCTTGGCTATGGATGTGTCTCATTGGAGAATATACATCCAGGAGGTAGGGGGAAGACGAGGGTCAAGGGTGAAATGAATGATGTGTCAGAGTCGGCTGCAACCAGGAAACGCAGACATGTCAACTCCTAATAAATCAGTCTTTTTTACTCTGAGAAATGCCACTAGAGACTTGTGATTTGAATGGGGGCTCATGCTGGAGCCCTGATGTGACACCCGATCAGCTTCTCATTTCCTGCTACATACTTGCCTCTTCCTTTTGCGTGCTTGTTGATCTGAGGCTGCATGTAATTGGTCAAGGCGGCCATCTTGCCTTTCTTGCTGATTCCAAGCCAGGAGCCACCTTCTTTCCCTTCTTCCATATCCAAGCCTGCCATTAACAACAACAACAACAAAAAAATGAATCACCTGGGCACCATTAAGCAGCGCCTGGTTGATAACCAACAAACAGCACTCAAAACCGGGGAGGGATTTCTGGGTGTGAGAACAGGAAAGGTGTATAGGAAGCCCTTGACTTACGACCGCAGCCGAGCTCAAAGTTGCCCCATTTTACGAACTTTCTGGCCACCGTTGTTAAGTGAAACACTGCAGTTAATCAGTGAATCACCCGGTCGTTAAGGGAATCTAATTTCCCCATTGAGTTTGCTCGTCATAAGAAGGATGCGAAAGAGGGATCCCGTGACCTCAGGACACAGCAACGGTCATAAGTGTGAACCAGTTGCCGAGCCTCTGAATTTTGACCGCGCAATCATGCAACGGTCGTCACTGCGAAAAACAAGTTGTAAGTCCCTTTTTTCCACTGCCGCGGCAACTTTGGACGGTCATTAAACAAACTGTTGCAAGTCGAGGACTACCTTTAGTTTAAAAAAAATACACTGAGGCGATGTAAAACAGTGTTCACAAAAGCGAAGGATGGGTCTGGTTTCACGGAGATGAAGAAGCAGAAGATAAACTACCCAATTTCTTGAGAAGATTGACAGTTCAAGGCCTTAAAAAAACCAAGGGCAGTCAGGCACGCACACGCACACGCACACAGAGCTCAGAGAGAGGATAAATACATCAAAATAGACCAGAATGCTTTTAAAATTCAAATTTCAGCAGGCACTCCCAACCCCCTTCCTCGCTAAGCACTGCTCTGTATAAATAAGGGAGAAGAGGGGCAGCCCATACTCGCCAAGAATTCAGAATGGAAACCAGACTTTCAGAAAGTTAGAAAGAAAAATAAATAAATAAATAAAGAAAGAAAGAAAGAAAGAAAGAAAGAAAGAAAGAAAGAAAGAGAGAGAGAGAGAGAGAAAGAGAGAAAGAAAAAGAAAGAAAGAAGAAAGAAAGAAAGAAAGAAAGAAAGAAAGAAAGAAAGAACTTTGGGGCAGACAGAAAGAGTGAGAGAATAATTTATCCTCCGCAGGATCCCTGCCAAAGACAACAACGTTAAGCAGAAGAGACGAATCTTCACAGAGGGGTTTTTTTTTCCTTTTTTTAAATCGCCATGGTCTGACTGTTCGAATCTCATTTTTATTTATGTGCACACTGGAACATGTGTGGCTAGGATGGCTAGGCAGGAGAGAGTGAGCGAGAAAGAGCGGAACGAAGGAAGGAAGGAAGGAAGGAAGGAAGGAAGGAAGGAAGGAAGGAAGGAGGGGCAGAGACTGGAAATGGTTATCAAGTGAGGAATGCAATAAATATTTCAGTTTTTTAGGGAGAGAGAAAGAGAGAGGGAGAAGGAAGGAGAGGGAGGAAGGGAAAGAGAGAGAGAAAGATCTACAGAAATGCTTCTAAAATGGGTAGCATTGGGTCTGCTGAAGCTGCGCACTTGAAAAATCAAAATCATGGAATTTCAAGGGCCCCACTAAAACGCGGCTCTGTAACCTTCCTTCCTTCCGCTCTTTCTCGCTCACTCTCTCCTGCCTAGCCATCCTAAAGTACGTGTTCCAGTATGCACATAGCTACAACCCTCACTAAGGACTAGTACTTCAGGGAAAGCCAGTTTGGTGTAGGCCAGAAACCAGGAGACTGGGGTTTCTAGCCCTGCCTTAGCCATGAAAGCCAACGGGATGACTTTGGGCTGATCGCGAGGAGACGTTGAGTTAAGCAACTCACCATGGTTGTTAAGTGAATCAGGTGGCCATAAGCCTGAATCTAGTTTATAAAAAGAGCATTTTTTTACCTTCCCCCCCCACCCGGAAAACATCAAAAAGGATATCCCAAAATACAATCACAGGACCAGGACACGCTGCAACCAGCCAGTTGCTCTGCACCCAAAATGCATCCACGTGACTGCAGAGGACAGCTTATAAATAACTTTCTTCGAGGCTGTTATAAATTCGAACATTCATCAAGTGACCAGCCGTAAGTCAAGATATCAACTCATAAAACACTACTATAGTCTTTTTAGGGTTACCAACAGAAAAGGAGGGGGGAGCAGTGCAGCAGTTTGCAACATCGAAAGTGCATTCCACAAATGTTTTCAAAGATAGTAACTAGGTAACTGAAGTTTTTGCCACGCAAAATTCTAACTGGAGAGCCTGATTGATGACTCTGGGCTATGGATGTGTCCCATTGGAGAATATAAATTATGATGCACCCAGGGGGTGGGGTGGAAACCAGAGTCAAGGGTGACAATGAATGATGTGTCTCGGAGTTGGCTACACCCAGGCAGTGCTGGACATGTTAACTCCCAATAAATCCTTTTGAAGTTTTGGAAGTTTGGCTCGAGACTCATGATTTAAATGGGGGTAACTGCCGGAATCCTGACAGCTAGCCAATTGAGACACATTGCTTGACTTAAAACACATACCCAGAGAGCACTATACGTACCACTGAGAATCTCGCTGCTATTGTCCCAAAAATCGGCGGATTTGGAGGGCCTGTGGTAATATTCATCTCTGTTAGCTGCTAGGATAAGCCTGTAGGGAAAGAAGAGAAAATCTGTGATTGCACTGAAAAACAAAGTTTGCTTTATTACTTCAGCTGCAGAAAAGGAAAAAAAAAGGAATTGTTGTTACGTCACCCTAAGCAAGCTTAACTAGGGTTTGCTGAATAAGGCGTAATAATCAGAGTTTGCTTATGACCCTGAGCCACGATGCGGTGCACTTGGATTCAACAGGTCTTATATTCTGCAGATTTTTTAAATTGTTTGCATGTTTTCTACATTGTTTTAATCATTTTATAATTTTGGAACTGTAAGCTGCCCGGAGTTGCCTGGATGGGTTCGGCAGCTATAGAAACTGGAAAAAAAATGCAGAAGAGCTCAGTCATTTTTAGGCTAGCTGCAGATATGGATAGTCCTTGATTTAGGATTGCAGTTTTAACCGGGATTCCTGCCTGTTTTGCCAACACCCAGATCCTGGATTCAAGATCTGCTCTATGTTTGATGATCTTTCTAGCACTAAAGAGGAATTTCCTGACTAGAACGAAGAAGAAATTTCCTGAGAGTTAGAACAATTAATCAGTGGAACAACTTGCCTCCAGAAATTGTGAATGTTGCAACACTGGAAATTTTGAAGAACAGGTTGGACAGCCATTTATCTGAAGTGGTGTAGAGTTTTCTGCCTGAGCACGGGGTTGGACTAGAAGACCTCCAAGGTCCCTTCCAACTCTTCTATTCTATTCTGTTCTGTTCTGTTATTCTATTCTGTTCTTGTTTGTTATTCTATTCTATTCTATTCTATTGTTATTTTATTCTGTTCTTGTTTGTTATTCTATTCTATGCTATGCTATGCTATGCTATGCTATTCTATTCTTGTTTGTTATTCTGTTCTATTCTATTCTATTCTATTCTATTCTATTCTATTCTATTCTATTCTATTCTATTCTATTCTATTCTATTCTATTCTATTCTGTTATTCCATTCCATTCTATTATTCCTATTCCTATTTTATTCCATTCCCAGACATGCTGGGGCGGGGAGAGGAGAAAGAAGCCAATTAAACAGATTTCTCTTAGTCTTATTTGAAGATTCAAGGGGTTGAATCTGTGACCTCCTATGCGTTCTACCATGCAATTACAGCGTTGCCGGGAAGTGTCAAGAAAACTCCTGCGAAAATTTGGGCGACACCCACACAGCCCAGCCGAGTTAATTAATGCAATCGCACCACTGCTGCCAACAAGCAGCCGGCTGTCGCCTTGAAGCAGTTTCCTGATTCCTTTCTAGCTCTGCACCATAGACACACAGCATCCTTCAGGAATGCTCTTGGGGGGGGGGCACCTTTAATCATATTTGGTTTATTTTTTTATTTGTACTCTGTCGAAACACATCCACTGAAGAACGTGTGGCTTTGAACGGACCTACGCGCCTCAAAATCTATTTCATCCACCGAGGCAAGAAATACAAAGGCTAACAAAAAAAAAGGAGAACAAAAAGATGGATGAACCCTATGAAGCTTATCTTGGTTTGGAGAACCAGGCCTAAGGTTTGCAAAGACTTTGCCTGGCATTTGCCAACGCACTCCTTTCCTGGCTCAGATAAACTATGGTTTCTGAAAGCTGGCTTATGCCGGCAAGCCAATCCCAAGTCTAAAAAGAGGACTCTTAATTTATTTTGTCAAGCATGTGTTAGATAACATGTGTAAATATAAACGTGAGTATTAATACATGAAATGGATACGAATAAAAGGGAACATTAGGACAGGGACGGTAGGCACGCTGGTGTGTTTATGCACGCCCCTTACAGACCTCTTAGGAATGGGGGGGAGGTCCACAGTGGACAGTCTGAGATTAAAGTGTTTGCGGAAGAAACCACAGAGTCAGGTAGTGCAGTCCAGGCATTGACCACTCTGTTGCTGAAGTCGTACTTCCTGCAATCAAGTTTGGAGCAGTTAACCTTGAGTTTGTATTTGTTGTATGCTCTTGTATTGTTGCGGTTGAAGCTGAAGTAGTCATTGACTGGTAGGACATTGCAACGGATAATTTTATGTACTACGCTTAGGTCAAACCGAAGGTGGTGTAATTCTATGTTGTCTAAACCTAAAATTTTTGTTTTGTTTTTTTTTAGAATTTTTTTAAAATAAATTTTATTGAATTAACATTACAAACAATTGAACACAGTGCAACTTTCTTGGCCATCATTTTGGCCATGCAAACTATAGCATACGGATACACATAACAGTTAATTTCATTTTTTCCCTTGTGTTATTAGTACAGTGCTAGCTGCATGTTATTTCTATTTAAGCCTAAAATTTCAAGTCTGGTGGCATAAGGTATTCCACTGCAAGCTGACTCTGGGTTCAAAATATTGTGGTTTCAGTCAGGATGGAAATAAATGGATGAATTTCACCTTGTGCAAAAACACTGTTTACCTATGGCTTGCCGAACAAACCTTAGCAACTCCCAAGGTTTATTTATTTCCTTCTTATTTAGCTGCTGTTGTTTTACATTTTCAGTGGACTGGGCTGGATCACGGGAACGTGGGGATGCTACAATGGTTGTGTGTGAGAAACAGTCAAAGGTCACTTTTTTCAACAAACAAGCTCAGAGAGCACCAAGGATTAGATTAACAGAGTTGGAAGGGACCTTGTAGGTCATCTAGTCCAACCTCCCCTGCCCAAGCAGGAGACCCAACCCCATTTCTGACAGATGGATGTCCAACCTCTTCTTAAAAGCCTCCAGGGGTGAAGCTCCCACAACTCCTGCAACGGGCAACGTCTTAGTTCATTGGTTGATTGTTCTCCGTCAGAAAGTTTCTCCTTATTTCCACATTGAATCTCTCCTTGATCAGTTTCCATCCGTTATTCCTTGTCTGGCCTTCGGGTGCTTTGTTTGGAGAATAGCTTGACCCCCTTCCTCCTCTCTGTGGCAGCTCCTCAAATATTGGAAGACTGCTATCCTGTCTCCCCTGGTCCTTTTGTTCATTAAAATCAGATTAAAGTCAGATTAACAGAGTCGGAAGGGACCTTGTAGGTTATCTAGTCCAATCCACCCACCCAAGCAGGAAACCCTACACCATTTCTGACAGATGGCAGTCCAGTCCCTTCTTGAAAGCCTCCAGGGATGAAGCTTCCACAACTTCCAAAGTCAACTTCTGTTCTATGGGTCGATTGTTCTCACTGTCAGAAAACTTCTCCTTATTTCCAGCTTGAATCTCTCCTTGTTCAGTTTCCATCTGTTGTTCCTTGTCTGGCCTTCAGGTGCTTTGGAAAATAGTTTGACCCCTTCCTCCTCTCTGGGGCAGCCCCTTAAGGACACCTCACAAATATTCTCCTTTATTAGTACTTTTTTCAAGGCCGTTGTAACTTTGAATGGTCACTTAAGGAATTATTGTAGACAACCTGTAGTGATTTACTATCCAAAATGAAAGCTAGTTCTATTCCCATTTCAATTCTTGGCTACAAAAATAGGGAAAAAAAGAAGCATTATCAAGAAAAATCCATAAGCTAGAATCCATTCATGTCAGCGAAATCACCACTGTTTGTGGATATACTGAAGCTGTGCCCTGCCTGATTCACAAATAATGGGTTAGCATTATATGCGGATCACCGTTTGTTGTATCAGGAAACACCCAAACACATCATGACTTTGTACTGTTAGTCAGTCAGGCTGTTTATTCAAATTAGACAGCAATTTCCTTCAGATATAGGGAAACGGATTCAGATACATACTGGGGAAAACATCCATTTTTAAGGTAGCCTCAGCAAAAATCAGCCACAGCAAAAATTAAACTCTCTAAGTAATTTATAAGAGCTCCAAAACAAGCTGTACAACCTTGACGGGCACAAAGATTTATGCAACTTCTGACTGTGTGTGTGTGTGTGTGTGTGTGTGTGTGTGTGTGTATAGATGGAAATTGAAGAATTTGTACTACCGAAGCAATTTCCTATGACATAATTCAGTTTCATAAAAAAAAGATTATGAGATTATAGCTCCGAAACATAAAACCTATATTTACAAACAGCAGCAATATGTACTACCAAAATTGGATTTATGAAGGCCTCTGCAAACAGGAACACATTGAAACGAGAGGCATTTATTTACAACATGAAAAATAGAGACTGTTATAAAGGAGGGAACACAGAGTGCACCGGATGTGGCCTAATTATAACTCAGTTGCTCTACCAACGAGCCGGTACGGGCAGTTCTTGACTTATGACCAAAACTGAGCCGAAAATTTCCATTGCTTAAGGAAGAAAGTTGTTAAGTGAGTTTTAGTACTTGGCACTTAAAACTTATATACCACTTCACAGTGTTTTCCAGCCCTCTCTGGAAGTGGTTTACAGAACCTCTTGCCCCCCAACAATTGGGGTCCTCGTTTTACCCACCTCAGAAGGATGGAAGGCTGAGTCAACCTTGAGCCATTCAGGATCGAACTGCTGGCAGGGGGCAGAATTGGCTTTCAATACTGCATTCTAACCACTGTGCATGATGGATGGATGGATGGATGGGAAGGAAGGAAGGAAGGAAGGAAGGAAGGAAGGAAGGAAGGAAGGA